AAAGAAACGGTTAGATTTATACAGAACTTGGCTCATACCGATGGCAAGCTAAGATCACCAATCGATTTGAATATCAGTTATATGAAAGTCGTGAATCTAAATCCTATACAGTGGGTCAATTATAATGTCACGCCAAAAAAATTAAAACTTAGCAACACTGGATATACTGGTAAAAAATGAGAGCCGTATCCAATGTATTTACTTGTAGTAGAATAATTGCATTTATTATTTATAGTCATGCTTAGTGCAACATGGCATGAAGAAGAGCCATATTTGTATGGTGGCCCTTTCGTCAGCAGTTATGTCTTTTCACAGCTTCATTTTCATTGGGGTAAAACTGATATGGACGGTAGTGAACACCATGTTGACGGTGGAAGGTTTATTTTTATTGTCTACTTTTTATAAATATTATTTATTTATTCTTTTAATTTAAACGTACTTTTTCTAAAGTATGCCAATGGAACTGCATGCGGTGCATTATAATAGTAATTACAGAACTCAAATAACGGCTCTTCGTCAACATGATGGTATCACTATATTAGTATATTTATTCCAGGTATTAAAAAAAATATTTTTATTTATATTTATATTAGTTTATTTTAAATAAACTAATTCTATTAAGTAATAATTTTATATTAGAGTAGTTTTAGTACATAATTTTTTGACACATTTAAATGTGATTTGAGTAGAAATATGTCTTTAGATGTCAAGAAAATAATAGGTATATTTTAGAAATAATATTATATACAGCTGCAGGCAATCCCTAATCCACTTCTGGATGATATCATAAATACATTACCTTTTATCCAAGCAGCTAATTCTTCCATCCGTTTAATACCTTTTCCTATAATAAATATTATGCGATGCTTTCAACGTGATTACTTTGTTTACTGGGGTTCCATAACCATGACAAATATCAGAAATAGTGTACTTTGGTTAATAAGCAGAGAACCATTAGGAATATCCATTGATCAAGTAAATTATGTTGGAATAAGAATTATCAATGAACAGACTAAGGAATGATTAAATAAAATAATTGTCATGTAGTTAATTTTTTATCTCATAATAGTTGCTTTTATTTTTTAAGGTTGCAGAGTTTCGAACATTATGTGATGAACATAAAATGCCGATTTTAATAAATCGTCAGCCATTACAGGACAGAGGTAATAGAGACGTTTTCCACGTATGCCCTAGTGGATCTAGATATGCAACGCTTCTACCAATTTCACGTGATGACGATGATAAATATATTCACCAAGACAGTGATAAATGATTTCTATTATTTATTACAATAATAAAATTCATAAACAATTCATAAATTAACTATTTCTCAAGCATATTATTTATGAATCTCTCTAATCATGAAATTGTTTAATTTATAATTTTATTTTGAACTTTTTAATCGCGCATTTATTTCTTTTTTCTGCGACGCCTCTTAATCCTTTCATTCTCGAGATCGCATTCCGGATAGAAAGAGGCGCAATCGATTCCACCCAAGCCCAGAACGGATGCTTTCACAGAATCCAACATTGCCGACCATGGAGTTCTGTACAGCATTCTGCCCGACAACCAACTCATGCCCAAGCTGAAAAAGAGGGTGTCAATGTTACCGATTTTGGGATATAATTACAAATTCGCCGACTAATGATATTACGTCGACTGATTTATGAGATGATAAAAATTTGTATTTCACTTTTTTTTAAGGTTTATATAATTATTGTTGAGATCTGTTACCTCCAAACGGGAATCCAAATTCTGCGATCATCTTTAGTTTCTTTAGAGTATTGATTATCTTCACATAGTATCCTGCGCAAACAATTACCAGAATCTGCTTCGGCAACCATTGCTGCTTCGATAGACCTCAAAACGCGATAGGATAACTCATTCAAGTCCTCGTTGCTAATGGGAGTTGAAGAAAGAGAAATCGTGGCTCTCTTCTTTCGCCTACTGCCATTATTATTATCCTAAAATGTAACATTTTCAAACTTCTCCATCAAAGTTATGGCTCTTCTTTTGAATTAAATATTTCTATTCTTATTCTTATTCTTAAAAAAATATTTTAGAAAATAAGGACGTTTTTTAAATATAAATTTTTAAACATAATTTTCTTAATATATTTTTAAACATAATTTTTAAAATCTATTTTTAAACATAATTTTTTTAATACCGTAGCATTACATATAAGTTGAATAATGAATAATCCGAATGATAAGAATGCAAGCGCGGTGAGTGCAATTTCGAAGAATTCCTTGAGCGAGAGTTCATTGCTTTTCCCCTTGGAATAAGAATGTTTATGATCTTCATGGTCTTGATCTTGGTGATGTGGGGGATAATAGTATTCTTCGTGAGCAGAAGGGAAGAAATCAGCATGATGTCCATAGTGGTCGCCATGATGATGGCCAAACAAAGATCCGTAATGGAAAGAATGACGTCCCGTTGATGATGATAGCATGTCATCTACTCGTAAGATATGTAAGATATGTAAATATCATACCTCACTAAGTCTTTCGTAATGCATTATGTTCTGTAATTGTTTTTGCAATTTCTTACCTTCGTGAGAAGGATCATAAATGCCCACTTTTCCGTTTGATTCTGGCAGAGGAGCTTGCATCGCGTATCCCGTCAACTCGCCATCGAATTCCTCAATATCGTCGTGCTGAACATCTTGCTTTTTTATTATTTTTTTATGAGGCGCATAATGTCGATATATATCGTTTAGTGTCGTCATTCTGTTGTATCATCATAGATACGTTAAAAATTAAAGATTTTTTTTTATGTTATATATTCCCTCCCTCTCTTTTTGTACATTATAGCAAAATTATAATTGTTATTTCAGAACTGGAATATATCTCTTAAATATGCCCTCCTTAAATATTTTTAATTAAATTTTAATTAAAAAATTTAATGAAATATTTATTTAAAAAAAAATATTTTATGTTAAAAATTATAAATAAGTTGTTAAAGAAAAATATAAAGTTAAAGTTTTAATACAAAAATTTAGTAGAAAAAAATAATTTTGTACAGTAACATTTAAATCTATCAGAATTACAAGTAAATGTCATTAGTTATACAAATATAATTTGAATTATAAATGATTTTAAAGTTTTTGCGTTTACCGTTGCAGCCACTTTTTATATTTCGTGCTTCCTTCATCCGCCAAAAGTTTATCGTGTACCGTAACATTGTCGTCGCCTAAGAAGTTGTGATTTAAATTGGTTGACAAAGATTCGGGATGTCGCTTTACTCTAGGAGTGCTCACTTCTTTAAAAATTTCTTCCGCTATGTAGCCGTGACAAAGATACTCATTCATTCTTTTCCTATAATATATTGACTTGTATAATATATTGATTAATATATTTTCCTATAATATATTTAATATATTGACTAATTTAATCTCAACATTGCACAACTAAATTTTCAGATTGATTCGTTACCATTTATGAGCTTTCTATAATAAATCATTACCTATGCTCTTAAGAAATTGATCAATTACAATCGAATATGAGAGGAATACTCAACTATAATTAATTAATTTCTTATGACTTAAGAGGATCCTAAAACTGTCTGATTAAATTACCAATTAAACCATATAACTTTATGTAACCAATTACTTTTTCTCTCTTTTATAGATTCAAAAATCCTTTTTCAAAAATGTGTTCAGATTCCCACCCGGATGTTATGTCATCCTTGTTTCGGTAAATAATAAAACTAGAGTAATATTGAGTGTCACTCGGGTGGAAATCCGAATATAGCCTATGATTAAAGTATATGCATTAATATGTATCTGTGAAGTTTATGCCAAGAACGATAAAAAATTTTGAAATTGAGATCTTCTTTGCCATTTCTTAGTCCAATAGCGCTCTAGAGTCACGTCGTGTTTTATATAAAAGCTGTACAATTTGTATTTACAAAATAGTAGTCCACAGACTAGTTGTTTGTACAAAGAAACAATATGGAGTTCTTAGAATTGGACTTAGACGTCTAATTAAAACATTGTTATACGAAAATTTATATGTATGTATACGTGAGATATTGATACAGTATGTAATGATGGGTCAATGACACTTAAATAGTCTATATATAAGTTCTACTTACATTATGACTAATCGATTTTAGGATCCCCTTAAAGACTTAAGAATGGCTTTCTATAATAAGTCATTAGATAATGACGTTACGTTACCTATGATATTCCATCTCATTTAAAGCTTTGTCAAAAGATCCATCTATGGTTTCGTTTATCACTGTTTTTGGAACATTATTTTTGTACTGGTCACTAAATAAAAACGATCCAGGTAAAAGATCTACGGAAAGTATGTCGTTTTGATCGATGCAAAACTCGTTGCCATCGTAGTAACATTCTTGCGCCGATACCGTACAAATTATGAAAAAGATTTCCAAAATATATATTATTTTGTAAGCTCGTAATAAACGTTTTTCATCGCGTTCTGAAAAATTTTCTAGTGCCATTCTAGTTGTGTCACGAGACTGTCACTGAAGCGCGGAGATGACTGTGACTGAAGAGAAGGCGACACGCTCTTGTAATAATCTACTTGTCTGCTAGAAATAATTGCTTGAATCGTAACGCTGCCTAGGTTGCGTTATAACAGTTTTAAATACACCGAAAAAAAATAGTGAGTTCTCTTTCTCATCTGAATATATACAATATTAATAATTTTTCAAAACAACAATATTTGAAAGTTAATAAGATCAGGAGAAAGGAAGTTTAATAATAAATAACTAAATTATACGTATATTATATATATATAAAATAAAAAGATTGAATACATTTAAAATTTTAAATATTATACATTTATATTGTAATAATAAATTAATATTATTTTTAACTTATATATATAATTTACGGGAAAAGAAATATTCATAATTACATCGATCATTTGCTACAACAACATAACTAAAAAATTGTCATTTTTTTAGTTATATTGTTGTAAGAAAAGAAAATGCAAACACAGAAAAAAAAGAAACATATATTTTAATAGACCGTACCTTTATTCTTCTAATTAGTTATCAAAATTGCATTTTAAAATTATTATTATAAAATTTTAATGATTCAAATACAGGATAAGGTAAGTTTTGACAAAGCGTTCGTATGTAGATAGAGCGGACTAAATTAAGTCGAAAAATCTTCTACCATTTTGCAATTTTCGTAATAATGAAAGAGATATTCTAAAGATTGACGAATAAGTGGAATAAAAATCAACGAATAAGAAAATAACTTCAAGATTTCTTTCAGAGTTTGTTATGAAATATCTTAAAGATGTTTTTCAGGGAATTCTTAAAGATATTTCAAAATTATTTTATTCGTCAATTTTAGATATTCTGCTCATTAGATAAAAAAAATTGCGAAAATTGTAAAGTGATAGAGAATTTTTCGATTCAGTTTGGTCCGTTTTATACACGTGCTTTATCAAAATTTACCGGACACCCTGTATATTTAAATTATTAAAATTTTATAATAATATTCAAATTTATTTTCTGAAAAACTTTGTCTTTTGAGTTGTGCCGCTGTTGTAACAAATAAGCGACATTATCAGAAAAACTGTATTATCCAAATTTTTTTTATTTCGAATTGTTATTAGAAAAGCTATAAAGCCGTAAAATAAAATGATACCACGCCGATATTAAGAGATCGGAAGACAAAACACCCGCATATCTGCAAAAAGCGGGTTGTACATTTGTTTAGATTCATGACTAATCCCCTTGATTGGTGGCAGCACCCACCGATTTAATTCGTAATCCGACACTCATGATTAAATACGTTTATTAAAAACCACTTACAACGCTCTTATGAATGTTTCAAGAGCGGAGGGTCTGTCGGGATGTCTGCCCGGTTCGAGGTGGTAAGACAGGGTAATGGGGCCTTTGTTCCCCTGGGAACGCGCTCACCTGTCTAATATCTCGCGAGAGTGGCTATATCTGTACACACACCAAAAGCGGCCAGTTATACTCCAAGCTTACTGAAAATTAATCGCGCAGTTTCGAAAGAATCTTCGCATCTCTCGCGTCTCATCCTATCGTTTGAAATAAACGTTTTTCATGCGATTATTAATGGTGTCGTAGTCGCAAAACTACCTATGTATCAGACAAAAATATACGTAAAATTACATCTAGTTTTATTTTTACTTATTTATTGTTTATAAATATAATATTTAAAATTTTATTCAAAAATTATAATTAAAACTAATAACACAATGTAGAGGAAAAAAGACGAGAAAGTAGATTTGAGCAAATATAGATTGAAATATTAAAATATTT